AATCATCAAATTTTGACATTTTGTGATGTAGCATAACATCACTAGAAACTGGTGATAGATAACTACGAAATCATTCTGGATTATGATTTATTGCTGCATTAGGAACGTTTTTTATTCATAACGTTTTTCTCCATCAGTATTAGTACTTCCGTTATATTTAGTTGATTTTATCAAGAAAATCGTGCAATTTTAACATTTTGTGATTTATGCTACATCACTACAAACTGGTGACAGATAATCATAAAATAATTATGGATTATGATTTCTTGACACATAACGAACACTTTTTGTTCATAATATCTTTCTCCATCAGTTTTAGTACTTACATTATTTAGTACTTGATTTTATTTAGAAAAATCGTGCAATTTTGACATTTCGTGATTTATGCTACATCACTACAAACTGGTGATAGATAATCATAAAATAATTATGGATTATGATTTCCTGACACATAAAGAACATTTTTTGTTCATAACATCTTTCTCCATCAGTTTTAGTACGGCCGTTATATTTAGTTGATTTTATCATGAACATCGTGCAATTTTGACATTTTGTGATTTATGCTACATCACTAGAAAATGGTGATAGATAAATATGAAATAGTTATGGATTATGGTTTTTTGATGCATTAGGAACATTTTTTATTCATAACGTCATTCTCCATCAGATTTAATATATACGTTATAGTTGATTTTATCAAGAAAATCGTGCAATTTTGACATTTCGTGATTTATGCTATATCACTACAAACTGGTGATAGATAATCATAAAATAATTATGGATTATGATTTCCTGACATATAAAGAACATTTTTTGTTCGTAACATCTTTCTCCATCAGTTTTAGTACTTACATTATACTTGATTTTATTTAGAAAAATCGTGCAATTTTGACATTTCGTGATTTATGCTACATCACTACAAACTGGTGATAGATAATCATAAAATAATTATGGATTATAATTTCCCGACACATAACGAACATTTTTTGTTCGTAACATCTTTCTCCATCGGTTTTAGTACGTCCGTTATATTTGGTTGATTTTATCAAGAACATCGTGCAATTTTGACATTTTGTGATTTATGCTACATCACTAGAAACTGGTGATAGATAAATATGAAATAGTTATGGATTATGATTTTTTGATGCATTAGGAACATTTTTTATTCATAACTTCATTCTCCATCAGTTTTAGTATTTACGTTATAGTTGATTTTATCAAGAAAATCGTGCAATTTTAACATTTTGTGATTTATACTACATCACTACAAACTGGTGATAGATAATCATAAAATAATTATGGATTATGATTTCCTGACACATAAAGAACATTTTTTGTTCGTAACATCTTTCTCCATTAGTTTTAGTACGTCCGTTATATTCAGTTGATTTTATCAAGAACATCGTGCTATTTTGACATTTCGTGATTTATGCTACATCATTACAAACTGGTGACAGATAATCATAAAATAATTATGGATTATGATTTCTTGACACATAACGAGCATTTTTTGTTCATAATATCTTTCTCCATCAGTTTTAGTATTTACATTATACTTGATTTTATTTAGAAAAATCGTCCAATTTTGACATTTCGTGATTTATGCTACATCACTACAAACTGGTGATAGATAATCATAAAATAATTATGGATTATGATTTCCTGACATATAAAGAACATTTTTTGTTCGTAACATCTTTCTCCATCAGTTTTAGTACGTCCGTTATATTTAGTTGATTTTATCATAGAACATCGTGCAATTTTGACATTTTGTGATTTATGCTACATCACTAGAAAATGGTGATAGATAAATATGAAATAGTTATGGATTATGTTTTTTTGATGCATTAGTAACATTTTTTATTCATAACGTCATTCTCCATCAGTTTTAGTATATACGTTATAGTTGATTTTATCAAGAAAATCGTGCAATTTTGACATTTCGTGATTTATGCTATATCACTACAAACTGGTGATAGATAATCATAAAATAATTATGGATTATGATTTCCTGACATATAAAGAACATTTTTTGTTCGTAACATCTTTCTCCATCAGTTTTAGTACGTCCGTTATATTTGGTTGATTTTATCAAGAACATCGTGCAATTTTGACATTTTGTGATTTATGCTACATCACTAGAAACTGGTGATAGATAAATATGAAATAGTTATGGATTATGATTTTTTGATGCATTAGGAACATTTTTTATTCATAACTTCATTCTCCATCAGTTTTAGTATTTACGTTATAGTTGATTTTATCAAGAAAATCGTGCAATTTTAACATTTTGTGATTTATACTACATCACTACAAACTGGTGATAGATAATCATAAAATAATTATGGATTATGATTTC